CGTGTATTCATTAAATTCACATTTGCTTATAATATGTGAGATAATTAAAGTTTCATAGTCAACAAACGTTTAATTTACTGCACTTATTGGCAGATTTGTTACAGTTTTGATCACAATAGAGCTGGATTTGAAGTATCATGATTTTTTTCTACTGCCTCAAATTTGTAAGATATACTTGTTAACCCTATAATTAGAGGAGAGTAGGTTACATATAGACCAGTTGGGTGGTTACGTATATATCTGGTGGTTGTTTACACATAGACCAGGTGGGGGTTACATATAGACCAGGTGAGGATTTACATATAGACCAGGTGTGGGGTTATGTATATATCAGGTGGGGGTTACATATAGACCAGGTGGGGATTTACATATAGACCAGGTGGTGGGTTACATATAGACCAGATGGGGAGTTACATATAGACCAGGTGGGGATTTACATATAGACCAGGTGGTGGGTTACATATAGACCAGATGGGGAGTTACATATAGACCAGGTGTGGGGATACATTTATATCAGGTGGTGCGTTACATATAGACCAGGTTGGGGATTACATGTTGGCCTCGTCAGGTTTATCAGCATTTTTTCTAAACTTTTCATCCACCATTTGGTTTATCAATCCTTGCCGTTGTTGGATACAGTTATCTTAATAAGACGAGTAACTCAAACAATTATAAATAAATCCCGCCTATCTTCTAGTTGATTCATCTGATTAATGTTTGGGTTTCCTACAAACATCATGATTTCACCTTAATGTTTTAGTTAGTTATTTTAACTAAGAAGCTCGAACTTAGTTTTGTAGTTAGTGTAGTGGACGGTGATCTGATCCGAGTCTTAGGTTCGAGAGGTAGTGCTCATGATTTGCAGTTTCAGCTAGCGTGCTTTATATGAGTGATGGTTAAAAGAAGGTGCTTCAAGCGGCGGGTTCTGTGTACCGGTTGCTCTTTATATCGTTCAAATTAGGGACGGCTATGTCTGTACCATACGGGACTCTAGCCTGGCCGTTCAGTTCATGGCTTATATAAAGTGTCGTTCAGGTAAATAAACAAACTTTACACTGAGCGTTGTGTTGTAACAGCCAAAAATTAGAAATTACTGAATATGACGGTGTATGTGGACCCCACTGGCAATGAATGGTATATAGACAAGTCGGTAATTTGAGAGTTAAAGTTTATGTTGTGAAAGTTAAAAAAAAAAAACAAAAGCTAGGAAAGAAAACAATTTACTATGTTATGAGAGTTTTTATAAATTTGTGTTATCTACACATTAAAATATTGATGAGACTTTTTAGTCAAATTGAAGGATTTTAAAGCCATAAATTAACATAAAACTTTCTTTCCTTCTTCTTAGAATACCTAAAAACCGGGTTTCGATACCCATGGTGGGCAGAGCACAGATAGCCCATTGGATAGCTTTGCGCTTAACTTCAAACAAACAAACAATCTTAGAAAACTTTAAATCAAATTCTATATAGTCCGTTCGAATGAATCCAAATAAAAAGGTTTTTACTTTGTGCGACATTTTCATTCATCTACAGAAATAGGAACGCCTGTTTTCTCAACCCTGCTGTTCAACATTCCAGCATCATGTACTTCACGGTACGATGTTGTAAACCATTTTTATGGTTACAACAACACATCAAGAACGATTACTCGTGGTATATCGAACTATAATCACATGCAGTACGTATGAGGGTTTATTCGAGCAAAATACGTTGACTGTGTAATACAGAGATTAGTGATATTCAATGTAAGGAGATGTCTTTATAGTAAAATGATGTGGAGGAAATACGTTGATTGTGTAATGCACAGATTAGTGACATTTAATGTAGAGAGATGTCTTGATAGTAAAATGATCTGGAAAAGCACGTTAATTTTATAATGTAGAGATTAGTGACATTTAATGTAGAGAGATGTCTTTATAGTAAAATGATGTGGAGGAAATACGTTGATTGTGTAATGCAGAGATTAGTGACATTTAACATAGAGAGATGTCTTTATAGTAAAATGAGGTGGAAGAAACACGTTTATTGTGTAATGTAAAGATTAGTAACATTTAATGTAGCGAGATGTCTTGATAGTAAAATTATGTGGAGGAAACACGTTTATTGTGTAATGTAGAGATTAGTGACATTTAATGTAGAGAGATGTCTTTATAGTAAAATGAGGTGGAAGAAACACGTTTATTGTGTAATGTAGAGATTAGTGACATTTAATGTAGAGAGATGTCTTTATATTCAAATGATGTGGAGGAAATACGTTGATTGGGTAATGTAGAGATTAGTGACATTAAATATAGAGAGATGTCTTTTTACATTACACAATCAACGTATTTCCTCCACATCATTTTACTATTATCAGTACAGCGATTATAGAATCTATTAAGTGGTTAACACTTTATAATTTTATACTCCCTATCAAACTATATGTAATTGTTAGACTTTCATCAAATGCCTGATTGTTAGTCTGAAAATTGTTTTCAAGGGTTTTTATTAACTGCAGAAAACAAAGATAATTCTTCCTAAGTGGATTAATATGTTTGTTATTATTGATATTTAGATGTCAGTATATATCCGTGCCTTAAAATATAAACATTACTGTAATGGGTTAAATATATTATTTGATCCTGTAAATTGGGGCATAATACATTAAGTCAGTTAGAAACTTGTTGGGTGGAAAATTTCATATAGGTATGGTTTCTTTAGTGTTGTGTGTCTTTTTGTAACCTGGTATGAACGTTCACTTTGATCATGTGAATTTGATATAGAGCTATTGGTTGAGGAAGGAATTGCAACCATTTTATCGTGTTGTTTTTTTCAGTATGATTAGCTGAAGGCTTGTTACGAAAAGTAACTACGGAGAACACTGCAGTTCTGTAATATAACGATTTTATAAATTGCTTGGTTCGAGTCTGGCTCTATTTATCGTTTCACTTTTTAAGCTAACTTTTTAACAGAATTAGAGTCATCATCGTGTGAGAAAATATTAAAGACAAAACACTTTCGACTTTTTGGCGATAAATTTCAACAATAAACAAACAGCGCACAGTCAGCTTGATTTAAAATAATATACTGAAACAAGTCAAACTTATATACAAATGTTCATTACACTGTTAGTTACCACAGTTGTATTTAGAGCTTTAAATAGTTGTCACTTTTATCGTCAAAGCCTACATAGGCTGGTTCAATTACTTTAGAACACAATTGTCAAGATAAATTATTCTTATACTCTGTTATTACAATACAGTCTATGATAATTTCACTTTAAAAATCGCCACTACACGCTCTTTTTGGATAAACTCACAATCACGCAGTACAGATCCATTTTCGAACTAAATTTTCGACGAGTATATATATACACCAACAGAGGTCTAGAACTTCCACACACTACTAATTGTTATGATATAATACTTCTCAATTAAAACAATGATAAAACTCAGAAGTTTCTAGTAACATGACACAATAATATAACAATCACCAGTTCATAACTATTGAAGTACACAACGTATGATTCGGAAATAGTTGCGTAAACAAACCTGTACTAAACTACCGCTTCTAAAAATAACTAAATTTAACACTCGCGCTATACATACTATCTAAATAATAACAGTCGCATTAAACTTAAACTGAAACAATCTTGTATATCTAACACCGAACCTTCGAGTTTCTGAACTAGCGGTTTATCCCATGTATTGCATTAGGTGACTTTCGGGCTGTCGCACACTCCCAGTGGCTCGGTGGAAAGTCAGCAAGCTTACTACGCTATGAATCAGATTTGAATACTTTTCAGACTGAAATATTAAATATGTTTTTGGATACGACATTTCTGGGTCTAAGCTGGGCTATATACTTCACAGCACGTGAAGTTCCTTTATTGTGTTAATTTTATCATTTTGTACAAGTACACATTTGAAGTATAAAATATTTTACAGAGCAGATATCGCTTATTCGTTTAATCAATATCTACAAATTACTGGAATTCTCGACAATTATGAAAAGAAACATGAAAAGAATTATTATATATTCACCAATATTTTATCAAGATTAATCTTTTAGATATAATTGTGTTTGTCGAAATGAAAGCGTTCGACACACACACACACATACATATATATATAATCATTAATTTTCAAAAGTATCCAAACAAAACGGACATTTCACCAGTTCTAGTGCAAACATCACAAGTATACAACGACGTTATCTTTTTGTGCTTAAACCACTCAGGAAAACTCGAATTTATCTAAAATTGTGTTTGAAAAATGTTCAAGGAATAAATATAATTGGAAATGTTTACGTGTTTGTTTCACATAAAAGTCCTATTTCACCTGTGTACTGAATACTCAGACAACTAAATATATTTAGGCGTATTTCACTCTATGAAACTTGGCAAATTTTATTTAAAAAAAAAGATTAAATTTCATTAAAATGTAAATATATACTCCATCGCGGTTTCTCATGGAACTAGCGTTCACTTATGTTTCTAGCTAAATAATCTAATCAACAAGTAAATTATATGTTATTTATTTTTTGACTGAAGTTGACTCAAAACTTTTGAAAGTTTGCAATAACACCACAAAACATGTAAAATAAATCCTCATTAAAGTTGTGGATCAGATGGAACATCCATGGGAATATCTTATGGACCAGAGTTTCCTTTAAGAAAACGTAACATAATTAACTGATTTTAGGTATTACTCCGTCAAATAATCATAGAAGTGAGAAGACAGGTTTTGTGATTTCCACCATAACCCACAAAAGTACGATATTTCAAACAGATATCACACATTATTGGTTGAAATACCTCACCTGTATCTTCTCAGGTTTGTATTATTGTTTAATATGACACATATGTGGCGTTAATTACCACAATTACTGTTATAATATCAAACTTTGTCTAATGGATAGCGATAATGTCCAGCACAGAAACGTAGTCAATTCTTACGCTCCAGGCAAATACTGCCTATAAAATCTTTAAAAGCTGTATACTGTACTCTGCCTAAAAACTCCTGTAAAATAAGAAATCCTTAATTAACATGCCACGTGGCATCCTCGTGGGGATTTTACCAATTTACAAAACCTTCACGTGTGTAGATTATGGACATTATTTAGTTTCTCATGACTCTAAGCTACTAGATAACCCTGTAATTTACTGTGTCACACCAGGAACTGATAAATTACAGTTATTGTCATTTTAAGAATCAGTAATATTATATTCATGACATGGGTGTAAAACTTTTTAAAAATCACAAGTGCTGTCATTAAAATCTTTATTATTAAACCTGAGACGAAATAAACGACGATATATTAAACCCAAAAGCTATTAGACAGTTAACAAACTTTCATGCATAAACACCAAATGCTTATTTACTGATGTTCATTCTTTGGCACACATCTAAATTCCAGGACCTTAAAATGAGAATGTAAAATTATGGGATTACGGAGTCTTTAAAGAAACTGCAAATTGAAAAAGCCCTTTTCGAGAAGCCGAGTTCTGTGGATGGCAATCCAGGAACACAAATGGCATTTGGAGCACACATCACAATTAATTTGTGTTGGTAAAATTGGCAAAAGAAGAAGAAGAAGAATGTGCTTTAATTCCTCGAGTCTACTCACTTTATGACAGAGAATAATTCCTGGAGGAATTACCACAGGAAAGCTTAACAAATACACACGGCGAGAAAGAAAGAGGTCAGAAGACGGTGAACAACGAGTAAGGTTCCTGTATCCGTGTTTCTTGTGTATCCTAGTGGAGAATCAATATTATCCTCATTAGATTAAACCTAAAACTGACTATCTTCAATTTAGTGCACAAAACAAGCAAAGATCTTAACATTACACACAATCACTGCCCTACTAAATGTATCTGAATAGCCCTATCATAATGAAGGACAATCTTGACCTCGATATAGGAATCACTATTCTATGAAGTATGATATGAATTAGGTTCCAGCACGTACTAATTAGAATCCAGCTCAAGAACACGGCCCAACACAGTTTTATATTTAATATTTTATGTTTCATTTAACACTCCAGACCTTTCACACATAACAGCACTACAGCTGCTGTGTCTCTACCTATATATTTACTCAGCTCTCTTGCAGTAAGTGTAAGGAGCGTAGAGAATAACGTCACATGCTATTGAGATGTGTCTCCGGATACTTCTGGCAGTTTAGTGTTTTATAGTTGGATTATGTCACTTCTTTAAGATGTCTCCGGATACTTCTGGCAGTTTAGTGTTTTATAGTTGGATTATGTCACTTCTTTAAGATGAAACTGCCAGAAGTATCCGGAGACACATCTTAAACAAGTGACATAATCAACTGTAAAACACTGAACTACCAGAAGTATCCGGAGACGCATCTTAAACAAGTGACACAATCCAACTATAAAATACTAAACTGCCAGAAGTATCCGGAGACCATCTTAAACAAGTGACATAATCCAACTATAAAACACTAAACTAGCCAGAAGTATCCGGAGAAGTATTTTATAGTTGGATTGTGTCACTTGTTTAAGATGCGTCTCCGGATAATTCTGGTAGTTTAGTGTTTTATAGTTGGATTATGTCACTTCTTTACGATGTCTCCGGATACTTCTGGTAGTTCAGTGTTTTACAGTTGATTATGTCACTTGTTTAAGATGCGTCTCCGGATACTTCTGGTAGTTTAGTGTTTTATACTTGGATTATTTCACTTGTTTAAGATGCGTCTCCGGATACTTCTAGCAGTTTAGTGTTTTATAGTTGGATTATGTCACTTCTTTGAGATGTCTCCGGATACTTCTAGCAGTTTAGTGTTTTATAGTTGGATTATGTCACTTCTTTGAGATGTCTCCGGATACTACTGGCAGACGGTTGTTGTAATTTTTTATTTTTTCGGTTGAATTATCAACTACTGTATTATATGTTTGACATGAGACTATCAACTACTGTGTTATATGTTTGACATGAGACTATCAACTACTGTGTTATGTTTGACATGAGATTATCAACTACTATATTATATGTTTAACATGAGAATATCAACGACTGTATAATATAATTGACATGAGACTATCAACTACTGTATTATATAATTGACATGAGACTATCAACTACTTTATTATATAATTGACACGAGACTATGAAGTACTGTGTTATATAATTGATATGATACTATCAACTACTGTATTATATAATTGACATGAATTTATCAATTACTGTATTATATAATTGACATGAGACTATCAACTACTTTATTATATAATTAACATGAGACTATCGAGTACTGTATCATATAATTGACATGAGACTATCAACTACTGTATTTCGTGAGGGACATAATAAAGTTCAAGACTAATAAAAAGGATACATTTTAGTACAATAGAATATATGACCTTAGGTATGTTGTTTTGTTTATTGTATATAGAGCATAAACTTTTTTTTATACTTTTAAATTATTTGTTTGTTTGTGTATTGTTTATTATTAAGTCCGATGTTACACAATGGGCTAACTGCTGTGCCAACCGCAAGTATCAAAACCTAATTTTTACCGTTATAAGACCTCTGACTTACCGCCCAGCCACCGAGAGGCTATGTGTTATACTGTCATTAAGATATAACATATAAGTAATATAGCCCTCTTTAAGCATCATTTAAAGTTGATTGGCCAAAAAAAAAACTCACGTTGGATCCTACACACTAACCACTAAATAAACCTTCGGATTACATAAATAAAAGTTTTACTTCTGAACTACATTTAAAGTTTCATCAGCAGAAACTAATATCGAACATAGAGTATGATTAAGTTGATTTTTCCGGAACGTTTAATAAAAAATAGGGTCAGCTTCTAATATTTCTTTAAGTAAGGTTTCCGTGAGTGATACACTAAGACTATATGCTTACTCGATAACAATTATAATAGAACCAAGTAATCTAGTATAACAAAGTACATTCGACAGCACTAATAAATACATCGGGTTTTTGGACGTGTTAATTGTAGGGTACGTGGCGCTAACATCTTCGTCGTCTTTGAACACAGATTGAAACATAACTTTTATGAAGCAAAAGAAATTATAATGATATTCATTGTAAAACATTTGGTAAATTCCAAGTCAGATATTAGTTCAAAGCGTTTCATAATTACTATGGGGAAAAAAGGAAAAATTCTCAGTGTTTGCTGTATTTTCAGCGATCAAACGTTTAATGAGATACGGTTTAAAGTTGTACTGCTGTGTCAAAAATAATGTTAAAGCTATAGCTATAATAAGGATTTTCTCGAAAAATAAAACACAAGCTGTGTATGATTTGTGTAGAGCTTAGACGACTTTGATAGATTGAATATTTCATTAAACTGACAGTGCAATGCATTCATTTTCTAGAAGTCTGCCGCTAGCTACTTTTTAATAGGGTAATTGATTAAAGTTGAATGAATCTTTTGTCTAATTCATCCTTGATAAAGCAAGCTGTCTTATATCGTGAAACACTAACGTACAACATTTTTGCAAGTAAACTAGAGCTCACGCATAAAAATCACCTTCTTATTACTTTTGTCTACAATTTATAATGATATCAAGAAACCAAACTTTTACGAGTTACTGATCTCATACTGGCTAGTATATAATTAAATTACTATAACCCTGTTTTATTTTAATCATTAGATACTAATCTAATATTTGTCGCTGGAAGTATTATTAAACGTCTCTGTAGGTTTTATAAGATTGATTTTTTTTAATTTCCTTTTGTTCTTTCGTTATTTCTACATGCTTAAGTGTACTTTCAAGACAAGTTTGGTAACCAAGGAGCCATATTCCAACAGGATAAACATAGTAGAGTTCCTTTCTAGTGATTTCTCAGAAGAAAACGTCCAACTCCTTGTTACAGTATAATAAATTACCAGTAAATATATTTAAATAACTTCTCTAAAATGTAATATTCGCAATTGTAGTTGTTGTTCAGCAATATCTATTAATCCAACTCATATTCTTATATAACACCGATAATATGTATCTATATTATGAATGTTATATACTACATTTATTTATAGTGTTGGTATAAATCACGAAAACATATTTAAGGCTCTTAACGTTGGTTTATGTAGGTCGATCTGCGAATGACAGTTTTCTTTTACTTCTTCAACTGTTGATGTTGTTTTTTGTATGTGTGTGAAATGTTATTTCCAGGCGCTTTTGCCTTGTTTCTAGACTCAATCTCCACTGCTTAGTGATTTTTGTTCAAATTATAAAGCTCATTTTTTTTTTACATCAGTGGCGCTGTAAGAACACCGCGTCCATACACGGCACGTCAACTCCAGACTTACTGGTGTCGTTTCTTCCAGTGTATTTTGTCTATTTGGTCCTGACCACGTGTTAACTTACTCCATACAGAAAGACAAAAGATTTACAAGCCTATTTCACTGTCAACATAATAATAACGTTCGTTCTTTATAAGGTAGTAATTCACTACGCTGATAACCGTGAAAACATCAATGTAGCATCGCAACGGGAAAATAAAAAATATTTCATCCAGAGGAGTGACAGTTCTGACTAAGCTAATAACATAACTTGGTGAACGTTATATAAGAATAATAATTATTATTATTATTGGTCAGTTAAAAACATATCGACTTCTTATTTTCAACTATTGTGAGCTTTTTTTATAATCTTATCATTCTAATACTTGATAAAATTCTTATTTTTGTTTAACTAAGTAAGGTGACGAGATTATTAGATTCTCCCTTTGACTCTAATATAGTGAAAGCTAGAAAATCCTACCTATTAACTTACTCTAATATAGCATAAGTGAAAGCTAGAAAATCCTACCTATTAACTTACTCTAATATAGCATAAGTGAAAGCTAGAAAATCCTACCTCTTACCTTACTCTAATATAGTGAAAGCTAGAAAATCCTACCTCTTACCTTACTGTAATATAGTGAAAGCTAGAAAATCCTACCTCTTACCTTACTCTAATATAGTGAAAGCTAGAAAATCCTACCTCTTACCTTACTCTAATATAGTGAAAGCTAGAAAATCCTACCTCTTACCTTACTCTAATATAGAGCGCCATAAAACTCTTATCTTATTTGCTTTATAAACCAATCTCTCTCGTCTTACCGTAGTGCACATTTCGGTCCTACCACTTACTGTGCCTAATTTGATAATTCAGTAACAACATTTTCTCTCTTATTCTATACTAGTTTATAGCTCAAAAGTAAAAGCTTACCTTTTATCCTGCCATAGCTTACTGTTCAGTAGCAAATCTATGTTTTATCCTAGCATAAGTCATATTTAACCAATAAAAGCTTATCTCTTATCCTGCCATAGCTTACTGTTCAGTAGCAAATCTATGTTTTATCCTAGCATAAGTCATATTTAACCAATAAAAGCTTATCTCTTATCCTGCCATAGCTTACTGTTCAGTAGCAAATCTATGTTTTATCCTAGCATAAGTCATATTTAACCAATGAAAGCTTATCTCTTATCCTGACATAGCTTATTGTTCGGTAATAGAATCTTACATTTTATCCTGCCATAGTTTATAGTTAATCAATAAAAATCTGCCTTTTACCTTGCACTAGTTAACAAATTTCTACCTTTTATACACCCAGTAAGGCAATCATTTTTTCCTACATATATTTATCGTATTTATTTACGGAAAACAAAAATCTTCCCTAAACCTAGTTTAATATTCTCTATGGGAGAAAACTTATTGTTACCGTTGTTTTTATGTGAATGTTCCTGAAGACCTGATAATTGATCCTTTCCTGGGTGGCGTCGATTTTCTGAAGCAAGAACCCCTTTGGAATCTACAGATACAGACATGAAAAAGCACTATTTAATATCCATTTAAAATAACTTTATATCAGAAATGCTTTTGAAGATTAAAAAGAAGAGAGCGTTTTCCTACAGAATGCATACTCTGTGAGGGTGAAAAAAGATTGACTACATCCAAAGAGCAGCATCCTTTCCCCCTCACACTCTTCGCTACACATTGCTTAGCGCTTAGTATTATTAGCTATTTTATTGTGATGTTTCGTCACTAAAAGTGTTTTATACTTTCAATTTCGACATTGTGAATCACTTAACGTAACAGCTGCATATAAATGTGAAAAAAAAACCAATAAATTTAAAAATAAATGTGAGAGTTGCGAGGTTAATTGGAATGTTAAGATATACAGTAGTAAAATGTACCTCTCTTGAATTGTTTCACAATTTCACATGATTTCTTTCTCCCTCTGATACAAAATATTGCTAAACACGCGACATTTGTTATTTTTTCTCTTGGAAATTTACAAAATGTTCTCTAAACTCTCACCATCCTACTCGGATTTCTATAGTTTTTTGTGTTTTTTTTCACATTTTTAATATAAAATTCAAACATAAAATCCAGTGTTAATCGACAAAGTAAGTATGTCTAATTGAAATATTAGGTAACACTAAATTTTATTTCGTTAGATTTGATATTTTTCTCTTAAATCTTGTACGTCTTTAACTCTATCTGCACTTTGCTGAAATCGTTTCAGTGGAATTAATAATCAACACGGTTTAGGGGAGCTCCTAGAATTTCGTCATGTGATGAACAGGCAGAGTTTCAGTGCGATTAGATATACACACAAAAATTGTCAAATACAACTGAGAGGTTAAAGGTTAATAAGTACATTATAGATTAATGTGAAAAGAACTGAGTGCTAATATCAGGAAAATATGATCAATTGAATTAAAACCATTAAATGTTAAGTCAGAATTCATACTTTCAATCATAAAAGTTTAAATAAATATCAAGGCGTCGATAACAAAATAGCAATTGCAGTCCATTTCCGGACTTCTCGTCAATTTCCGTTAAGAAGTAGGAATGAATAAGAATAAAGATAACAGAAAAAACTTGAGAAATATAATTGGAAAGAAGTATTCTAAATAAGAAAAGATTAGATATTGAAATTCCAAGACTTATTTAACTTTTCATTTATGTCATATAAGAAATGTACCTACTCTGTGGGTATGCTTGCTTTAAAATATCCTTTAATTGATTTCGTTCTTCCAACTGTGGGATTAAAATGTCTGGTGTTTGAGGTAGGATGTTGGGTTTCGTCTCATGCTTAGACTTCAAGCTGGTTGATTGTTCTGTTCCTTAAGGACAAATCGAATTTAAAGAGGTATTATTATAAAATAATGGCATTGTATTTTCTTCAAAATATATTTCATTGTTGCAGACAGTGACATTATCATTTGTTAATACGTAACAGTGACAATAGAAATTATTTTATCTGTCCCCATGACAAAATAATTCACTTTTAAATTAACATTTATTGCAATGTGTCGGTGAGTCCAATTATTGATCCTTAAAGTGTTTGATAAATTATACAGGTGAGCAGACAAACGAAATAATTACAGCAGACAAACGGAAATAATTACAGCAGACAAACGGAAATAATTACAGCAGACAAACGAAAATAATTACAGCAGACAAAACGGAAATAATTACAGCAGACAAAACGGAAGTAATTACAACAGACAAACGGAAATAATTACAGCAGACAAACGGAAATAATTACAGTAGACAAACGAAAATAATTACAGCAGACAAACGGAAATATTTACAGTAGACAAAGGGAAATAATTACAGTAGACAAACGGAAATAATTACAGCAGACAAACAGAAATTATTACAGCAGACAAACTGAAATATTACAGCAGACAAACGGAAATACTTACAGCAGACAAACGGAAATAACTACAGCAGAGGAGGTGCGAAACTGACAAATTGTGAACAACAACGTACAGGAAACATAGAGTAGCTGTGTGCTTCCTTGAAAAATATTATGTTATTAGTATTGATGTCCACATGATAAAAGCTAACTTCTATTAGGAAAGACTATGAGTTATTACAGTCGATTATTTTGTTTTACCTTAGTCTTTCAGGAAGCATTTTAGAAATTGATTTTTAACGTAATCGGCTTACATAACTCCTTTAAAAGAATTAGATAGGACAATAAAATCTAAGAACCCAATTGAGAAAATTAATCACACTATAGGAACCGTTCAAGAAATCAAACGTGATTGCTAAGAAATGGCACTATCACATTTACATGAAAAAGCTTTCATAAAGGATCGTGGTTCATAAATACAAGTTTCTTCCCAGATACGTTGATGAAGGATAAGAAACCAGCAGGAAATGAAAAATACCTTGAAAAATAGGAGGGTTTTTAATTTCTGGACGAGGCCTGGGAGTACATGAACGAATGTTAGAAAAAATTGGGCTATTTCCTACCATCCTTTATAGCAAGAATAAGGACTTCCAGTCTGGTGTAAACAAATCAATAAGGTTTTCTGTCAGATTAAAATTGCAAAGGTTTTTTAATATTATTAAATATTTATACATTACCAAGTGCACAACAAATCAAAGGCGAATTCTAAAGTTTCGACAGTTTGTTCGTTTGTTTGCTTTTAAGTACAAAACTAGACAATGGGCTATACCTCTCTACCTTCCGCGGGTATCAAAACCTGAAATTTAGCGTTGTTTCAATACCAATTATGCAACTTGAAATTCTTTCTGCATATGGTCAGGAAGTCATAACATCAGGATAATGCACTGCGTCACACTTGTAAGTCCACAACGATATTTTGACGAACCACGTAGCATAAAACCTGTTATCCCTTTCTCTGACGTACCTGCGAATTCACATGACCGTACACCCATGGACTTAGGTGCTTGTAGTTTGCCTAAACGTCATCTTGGAGGCCGATGTCTGCATACAGTGAAGGGTGGAGAGTTTATCGAGTTTTTTGGTATACGTTTTATTGTGTAATTATGCTCACCAGGTTTAATAATAGATGTAGTTCCAAAATATCATAGAGCAGGAATAGCGTTCTTATAAACAAGGGGGGGGGGGGTTATGTCAATCATCTTTAAGAATTAAGTATAATTAAACATCAAAGAAAATAAACCAACATGTTTACTAAATGGATAGGTAGGACAATTAAAATTTGGAAATTAAGGCTGGTTATATTAATACAAAATTACGTCTAATATAATGAAAAGTAATAAGCAAATTGAAATGCCCTTTACCAAGGTTTGAGAAGTTGCCTATCTTTAAATGTTATAAACATGTCTTTCCTATAGAATGAGGGTAACAATTACTAAGAAATTGGTATTTTTGGCTCTGTTTGTTTCTTGAATTTCGTGCAAAGTTATTCGGAGGCTATCTGCGCTAGTCTTCCTTAATTTAGAAATGATAGATTAGAGTGAAGGAAACTAGCCAACAGCACCCACCGCCAACTCTTGGTCTTCTCTTTACCAACGAAAAGTAAGATTGATCCTCACATTATAACACCCCCATGGCTGAAAGGACAAGCATGTTCGATGAAGATATTCGACCTCGCGATCCGCAGATTGCGAGTCGAGCGCCCTAACCACCAGGCTATGCCAGACTCATATTCCTTGCATTTGAGTAGAATCACTTAAAAGTGGCAGTTAGAGAATTCATAAAAGAGGAATGAGTCTATCTAATGCTTGAGAAAAAAGGCTAATAACGTTAGGTGTTTGAAACTAGAGACCAGAAACTTCATATACTACAGACTAACAGTAACTTTTATAAACATCTCCTATGAAAAAGAGGATATATCTAATAACAGAGAAAGGATATTCTTTATCGAAACAGATACATCTAATAATGAGAAGATCAAGATCTGATGCCTATGAAAACTAGGTTACAGTTTCACGTAGTTATTTAGTATCTTCAATATCATGGAAGTAATAGGTGGTGCATCAAGTTATAAGGAATGACATCACAAAATTAGATTATATTAAACATAAATACATCATACTGTATAACGTGAGAGAGCCTTCAGATTTCCCTATTTCGTTCTTTGCAGCACATATATATAAGCCATAATCTATAGATTGCACATTGATGATGGTGAGTTTCATGTGGGACTTATATGTGTTTTGCGCCATGTAGGTTTTGTACTTGTCTTCTTTATCGTGAATGTAATCTTCTCCTCGAAGCCAGAAAGATACTGCTCTTGGTTGAGACTCCATGTAGCATTCCAGAGTCCTGTTTGAGCCCAGCGGTGCTCCAACAAATTGATTAGGTATCCATATGGTAGGAGGAACTGAAAGACAATAATGAATGATGTATATTAAGTTCTTCCCAGAGCAAAGATACCATTTACTGTTTATTCACAATAATATCATAAAGTTCTTGGAAACAACACTGCAGATATTCGTTTGTTGTATTTACACCTAGGTAAAGATTATTTAAATTACGTATATTCTCCGCTCAGCAAAGACTAAAGCATAATTTTACATACGTTTATTGATTTCAAACTGATGAGCAAAGGTGCTCAGGTGTAGTTCAACAAATAGTCAATTTTTTGGTAAAATAATGTAAAAGTAATAGGAAGAAACAAAACAAAATTTCACATTTTGAAAACTTCTAGAAGTAAAAACGACCTTTATTTGCCTTGTTGGAAATAAAGTTTCATGTTGGTGAGTTAATAGATAAAATGATGACATAAAATAGGATTACTTATATTTAAGAAATTTATTCTTAAGCTTTGTTTACCTAATTTACAGCAAAACTATCTGGGTGATATGTCTTGCGCTCATTAGAGCTAATCCATACTAAAAAATGGGTATTTTTAACAGTAGATAATATTCGTTATAGCAATTAATACTTTCCTGATCTTTTCTTTCGCCAAAATATAAATTTTTTTTATAACAAAATTTATCTCGTTGATGTTTACACAGTTTGTAAGTACACTTCGACTAATCTGTATAAACTTGCCCGAAGGTAATATCAGATATTTTTGTAGTAGTAATTGGCTGTTCACTTTCGAAATTGCGGTGCTCTGGAATACTCCACACTGGTGCACACTTGATAATTAATCAGAATTTGGTGATAAATTACTCAAACACACTTACACTTGACTTCGAGGTAAAGTCTCCGTCGGATTGAAGGAGGAACGTTGTTCGTTGCTATGCAGAGATAAGCGCCCATGTATTCCCTGGTTACCGAAACGAAGGTGATACTGTTTCCTCCATACTGTTTAACTATGAGAAAAGAAAAATATAGAAAAAAAATGTCGTATGATACAAACAAAATGTTTACATATTTTGTAACAAATAAGATTATTACAAGTACACTTAGCGCTATCAAACTGATAAATGCGTGTTATATTAAACATCTAAGTATGTAATTTGTATAATGAGACAAGTTCTACGGACATCACGAACGATTTATCAGAACAGCAAACAATTTCATCAGACACCTGTAGAAAGATTTGTAATTCAGTATTTTACCTGTCACAACAAAACCTTATAAAATGACAAGATGTAACAACAAATTATTATAAATAGCGTCTGTAACCTTATGTCAGTCCATATTAAACATTCAGAACTTGGTTGGTCCTTCTTGTACTCTAATAACATCCGCAAGGCGACGTGGCATGTTGTCGATGAGGTTATTGATGTAATCCACAGTGATTTCATCCCAACTTGTCACTAAAAGGCGCTACAACTAAGTAGCTGGTTTAAAATCGTGATTAGCAACTTCCCTGCTGAGTTCTCAATGGGGTTACAATCTGGAGACGTTGTTGACCAAGGCAATGTTGTAACGACCTCCTGGTCGAGATAATCCTGTACAATACGCGAACTGTGTATAGTGGCATTTTGTCAGGTTTTATACGGCCAATATTCTTTTCAGTAGGCGCCTTTGACTTGTTGGCGATGAATTTCAGCAATGAACGGACAGCATACAATCCACTTGTTTTAAAATAATATATTCAAAACAAATAAAACGTATGTATAAAAATGTTACACTATAGGTTATCACAGCTGTATCCAGAGCTTTAACTAATTGTCTCTTTTTCGTCAAAGTCCACACAAACGGGTTCAGCTACTTTAAAACACCCTTTGGCAAGATAAAGTATTCTCCTCGATCTCTGTTATTACAATATAAGTTGTGAGACTCGCTTTAGCAATCACCCATTACGGCTAAAGTGATAATCACGCAGTATAACTACACTTTTACTTTCACTAGCTTAACTTCAACTTCTACTAACCTCGTCTCCTATATATATATATATATTTACCCAACTGAGGCTTAGAATTTTCTACAAAGTACATGATGTTATGATGTAATAATACTCATTTACAGCAACGAAAAAAATTCAGAAGGTTCGAGTAACATGATGTCAATTCATAACAATTGAACTATACAACAAATGTTTCATAAACAGTTACGTAAGCAAAATTGCCATAACTATTGCTTCTAAAAATATTGCTTTAATGCTCACACAATATAGACTAAATAATACTCTTGTATTAAACTTAAAATGAACAGTCATGTATATGTAACACATTGTCATCCTGGAAAACAGAGTTATTGCGGAATCTTTCCCTGACATATGGCAGAAATATCTTTTCCATGTGATGCCTGTAGGGGCGTCATTGACGTTTCCCTGAAGGATATCAAGAGCAGTTTTTCCACTATGATGAATAGCTGCCCAAACATGTACTGCACCACCTCCTGTTGGAAAGACAATCTTTAGTTATCTGTTCTCCAATGCAAAGGACGAACACGAATCCTACCATCAGTTTTAACAAGCCAAAAACAGGACTCATCTGAAAAAATGACATGTCCTAACTGTAACTTGACATATTGTATTGCCCAAGTAACACAGTGATGGCAGTGAATTCTGGTTAATATCGGTTTACAGATATCCCTTCTTGCTAAATAACCTTGTTTGGTCAGTCTCCTGTCCATTGTTCTTCTGTATATCCTGGAATAAATGTGTTCATGCCATTCCTGTCGTAAGGTGTTAATCTGATCAAAACAAGATCACCTCGGGCAGTAGTTTTTCAGAGTCTACTAGTAGACTTTCTGAAAACAACGTTTCATGTAGTCCGATCACGTTTCAGGTTTCTGGATACAGTATACTGGACAATAGAACCATTTGATGCTCTATACCTTGAGGCACATAACGAGGTAGGACTCTACACCAAGTACAGAGAAACTGTCTGAACAAAACGTTGATCTGTTTTTAAAAAGTCCTCGAACCAACTTATACAGACCGGAATAACAGCTCGTACTTGTTTATCCAATCATACACTACCTTCTCTGTTACTACTCAATTACTACTTTCCTAGGTTCAATAAAGCTCTGTTTCCTATCTTATTTTTGATTTTGTAACAATCTTACAAAGGTCACGTACATTAGACGCAGGACCCAACTACTTGTATTTCTATAGGTACATAAATTTCAAACAGTTTGTAATTAGATAACTCACAAAGAAAGAGATATCTTAGTTTGCCTCATTTAATCCTTCAAAATAACAAATCGCATCCTCTCCGTTTATATGTAACAGTGAAAAAATAACGCTGGCAAGGGGTCCATCTTCTTACCTTAAATTATGATGTTCACTCATCACCTCTCATTGTGTTAATACAGCACCCGTGTGTTAACCTTATCTTGTATCACAGGGTGCTACTGGTAAATCATCTTGCTGCTTGTTTATATTATGTGAACGTTAACGTATTATCTATCGCTACGTTACATCTTCAAATGTCGTGATATTACTACGTCATATTGATACTTATCTCACTTCGTGTTACTGCCACATCATATGTCCTTGTTAACGTATTATTGTGTTAACGTTTCATAGTAAAATACTGAAGTATTACCACATCATCCCATCCTGTGTTACAGCCACGCTATCTCATTCTGTATAAAGATCACATTAACTCACATGTGTTACTGTCACGTTATTTGTATATTTGTCACTACCATATTATTAGATGTTGTATAACTATGACATCAACCACTCTACAATCACATTACCTCACCTGTGTTACTTTCACGTTATCTCATACTATGTAAAGATCACATTACCTCACCTGTGTTACTTTCACGTTATCTCATACTATGTAAAGATCACATTACCTCACCTGCGTTACCTTCACGTTATCTCTTACTGTGAAAAAATCACATTACCTCACCTGTGTTACTGTCATGTTATCTCATACTGCTTAGAGATTACATTACCTCATTTGTGGCACTTTCACGTTATCTCATACCGTGTAAAGATCACATTACCTCATCGGTGTTACTTTTCGTTATCTCATACTATGTAAAGATCACATTACCTCACCTGTGTTACCTTCACGTTATCTCTTACTGTGAAAAAATCACATTACCTCACCTGTGTTACTGTCATGTTATCTCATACTGTGTATAGATCACATTACCTCATCTGTGTTACTGTTACGTTATCTAATTCTATGTAAATATCACATTACCTGATCTGTATTACTGTCACATTACTTCACTCTTTGTTAAATTCACATTATCTTAACTGTGTTACAGCCACATTTTCTCCTCTGAGGTAAAGCCATAATGTATCATTCCGTGCTACAACAACATTACCTCACATGTGCTTCAGTCACATTATTTAGTTATGTACTAGAAAAACATTATCCAACCTGTATTACAGTCACATTATCTCACACACTGCTAAAATCAGATTAGTTCACCCTAAGCTATTATCCCATTATATTATTCTGTACTAAAGTTACACTATATCACCTGTGTTACAATCCAATTATCTCAAATTCTGCTAAACTCCAATTAGTTTACCCTAAGTTATTATCACTTTATTTCACACTCTACTAGCCTCACAATATCTGACCTGTGTTACAGTCACATTATAAATCACTTTATTTTACACTGTACTAACCTCACAATATCTCACCAGTGTTACAGTCACATTATAAATCACTTTATTTCACACTGTACTAGCCTCACAATATCTCACCTGTGTTACAGTCACATTATAAATCACTTCATTTCACACTGTACTAACCTCACAATATCTCACCTGTGTTATAGTCACATTATAAATCACTTTATTTCACACTGTACTAGCCTCACAATATCTCACCTGTGTTACAGTCACATTATAAATCACTTTATTTTACACTGTACTACCTCACAATATCTCACCTATGTTATAGTCACATTATAAATCACTTTATTTCACACTGTACTAGCCTCACAATATCTCACCTGTGTTACAGTCACATTATAAATCACTTTATTTTACACTGTACTAACCTCACAATATCTTACCTGTGTTACAGTCACATTATAAATCACTTTATTTCACACTGTACTACAATTACATCTCACCTTACACTGTTATCATAATATACTAGTCCGAAGACGTTGAAATAAGCAGTCATAATTTTTATGATTATGTTTCTTAGGTTAAATAGGTGGTAATGCAAATATTTCCAACTTTCAGTACGCATAAGAACGTTTAAATTTGTTTTCTTTTAGCAATAAATACTAACAATTAAGTTTCATCGCTATGAGTTAATATTTTAACTAACCCTACAGCTAACATTGAGAAAGTAGTTTTTTATACACTTTCTTATATAATATCACCAATAAAAAAATATGAAGGGAAATAAAATGAATTTACTCTCCCATCAGATCCCTATTCTTCAGTCTAGACATTATTTCATTTCAGCGAATATCAAAAGAAGCTGACTGACCAACAAAATGCTGACGTCAAGTCAGCGGGTCGTAGTCATTTTTGTTCCTCATGTCCGTTGGATCTGCAGTCGGATAAAAAGCCAATAAAATTCTCAAAACCAATAAGCCCCTATTTAGACGATCCTGATGGCAATCTTTCCGTTAGAAAATAACTAAAATCTCAGCTGATTTTTATAGAATGTTTGTCTAGAAAGAGCTGTAAAAATGTTTTTTTTTTCATAGTTAGATATTTTAACTGAGAAGATGGGAATTAAAAGACTGGAAATGGTCCGTATAACATTTGAACGAAATCTTCCACACAAAGGGTAACATTTTCAGGTTATGTTTTCTGTCTTATTTACTTCTGAAATAGACAGAAAAAAATATATAAATTTATTGAAAAATCTGATAATACGTGATACTGACATGTGGAAACATGAAGGTAGTCCACTGAAAGTACTTGAAGGTCAGTCAATCTAGCAGGAATCGCGTACAACAACTACAACAGTCAATCTAGCAGGAATCACGTGCAACAGTTACAACAGTCAATCTAGCAGGAATCGCGTGCAACAATTACAACAGTCAATCTAGCAGGAATCACGTGCAACAGTTACAACAGTCAATCTAGCAGGAATCACGTGCAACAGTTACAACAGTCAATCTAGCAGGAATCGCGTGCAACAACTACAACAGTCAATCTAGCAGGAATCACGTGCAACAGTTACAACAGTCAACCTAGCAGGAATCGCGTGCAACAGTTACAACAGTCAATCTAGCAGGAATCCCGTGCAACAACTACAACAGTCAATCTAGCAGGAATCCCGTGCAACAACAACAACAGTCAATCTAGCAGGAATCGTGCAACAACTACAACAGTCAATCTAGCAGGAATTGCGTGCAACAACGACAACAGTCAATCTAGCAGGAATCCCGTGCAATAACTACAACGTGACTAGCTTCCTTTGATTAACTATTTCATGCAGCTCATTGGAATGAAAATTACAGCATTTTTAGAAGACATATTTCACCTCCTTCTAATTGTTGATGTATATGGGCTAGCACACGCTGCACAGTGTGTAAACAATCCTTGTATAATAGCCACGTTTATACACGTCTTTATCCAACACTCCTCATTTTTAATTCTCCCATTCACAGACGTAACAGTGTATCTATCACCATTTTGGAATGGTTTGTTGTCATATTTTTATGTTACATTTTGCCTTCTTTAAGAAATCTGTCATTTCAGTTCGAAACTCATATCTGGAGAAATCTGACAATTGCAGATCTATGGATATCTGACCCTCAGTTTATGATACCCAAACCATCCGTTTTCTCCTGTTTATGCTATCTGGTTTTGTATATAATCTGTATGTAGCTACAGCGCAAGGTATATCCTCTGAAGTTTTCCTTCTTATATTATTTAACAAGTTACATTAGGTTTGATTCTGGTCTTTGTCCAAACGTACACAGTTTCCTGTTTTGCTCAAAGATCTCTTACGAAAAAACTCGTATCTTGTCGGTGTTTGTTTTCTATTCATGTCCGGGTTTCATTCCCGTAATAAATGAAGTACCTTCGACCAAAAATTAGTCCCTTTCGGTTTTCAGCGTTCCATAGATTTCTTCTTCATAAAGTTCAACAAATACCTCACTCAACAGAACTTCAGCTATAACTATGGCAGTGTGTAAGTGTCTGGAATTTCTGGGACTAACCATATAAAGGACTTCTTCAGAGTGCAGTTCACTTCCAGTGTTTTTCCTCCAAAGATCTGTGTATTAGTTCAAAAGTTCACAGGTTTTCTCCGACTCAACAGCCAGGTAACATACAGCATGGGTCCATGTTTGAATAACTAGAGAACATCGTGACTGTTCCCACAACAATAAACCTTCAGAAGCTTTTAGTGGATGTAAAGTTGTGAAAAAAGTAAAAATTCGGCAATTCTAGAAAAAAAACACAACACAAATTCAGTCACTAATGTTTCTAGGTATTTTCTAAGTGGAGGAATGCACCTCAAACAACATAGATACACTTGGTGTCGGGCATTTTCTAACAGTTCTAAACATTTTCATAAATATTTTGCATCTTCAAAGTTTAAAATATTCCTCTTAGAGAACACAGTTGAAAGTTGTTGCAAAACAAACTTCTTCATATGTACATCATTCCTCGTAAGCATAAATTTTGTAATCCTCAGAGGGTCACTCGAAATCAGGTCGAGTCTTTCTCGCTATGACTGCTGTGTTAGAGAGGAACTTCAGACGACATTAACACTAACGTGGCGTGACATCGTTTATGACAGTCATGTTAAAGATTATCTATAGCAGTCGAAACTGCATTTCGACTCCATTTTATTCTTTGAAATCCAACGAGCCACTAAAGACTCCCGATGATACCCATACTAGGGCAAGAATAAAGATAATGATGTCTCGTTGTGTTTTATTAGGCTTATAATCAACAGAAATATACTTAGGCAGACCTTTGTTTTATTTTTACTCTGTTATTTTTAACATTTATAATATTTATGTAAACAAATAATCATAATTTTGTGCAATATGCACCTCCACAAGAATATAGTGTGATTACTTGGTGACCCAAGTCTTTAGCTCTTCCAAAGAATGTTTTAAAGGACCTGTCGCTTATCTTTTTCAAATTTACACAAGACAAGCTGATCTGTGCACCCGTCTTTTATGGAATATTTATGAGTATATATATGAGTTAATAATGAAAACAATTAGCTTACGAAATGGTAAATGAAAAGCCCCGTATGAATAATTAATAAAATACTTTAATATTAAAACAGCTTCAATTTGATGACACACTTTTTAGAAAATATATGTTTGTAGACGGCTCGAATGGATAGTGAAGAAAACTTTATTATAAATGTACAACATTTATGTTTGTTTGTG